GATCGGGCCAGGCCCTCGACAATCCTTGAGAGAGACTCCGTTCTCGCGGATGCACGTGCGGAACTTTCGCCGGTGGGCTTGTCTCATGCGGAGGATAATCGTTTGTCTCTCCCGTAATTGTGCGTTTTCGATATACGCCTCGTGTATGTGTGTGCGTGTGTTTGAAAATTACCCTAACGAAATTCAACTTTTATATTTTTTACATCGTCGAGTTTGTCCAAATGACAGTTTTAATCGAAACGGTAAAAATCATAACTTTAACCGAACCATTATCCTGCCTCTTGAGACTTTTTTAGCGGAACGATTTACAACGATTTATTCTTCTGATTCTTATTCCAAGAGCAAAGAATTTCGCCCTTTGACGTTCTTTAAGGACGAAATCTGTACGGTAGACGGCGCGTCATTCGCAGAAACGAATTTTACGAATTCAGGCTCCGGTCATAGTGGAATTGCTATAATTTTTTCGGCTCACGTATAGCGCACAGAAGGATAACTCGCGTTCTAACGAGTCTCGGCATTTGATGGGGTCGCTCGATCGCTGACTTGACAGCGGTCTTGCCTTCTCGCAGCATCCTTTTCTCCCGAGGAACCGGAAGACAGAAATATTTTCTACTAATCTCTCGATAAATTGCTCAAGCTATTTGTGTGTAATTAAATTTGTCGTGTCGACAAATTGACAGCCGTGTAAAATACAAGTCGCTGCTAATCTTGCCGAGTGTAATCTCCGAGTGTGTGTCGCAATTATTATTGATAATAATAACACTGTACAGGAGAAGACTCTTGACTGGAGTAACTCGATTTTAAAGAGGAAGAGAAGTTGGGTCTGTTATCGACGTTGAATCGTAATTGCGGTCTCGGCGCAGGGAGCGATTGGTTCGAGCTTCTGTCAGGCGATTCGACATGACTGTTGTCGCGCGAAATGTACAATATGTATTTGCGTGTGATGTGGTATTTCCGCGTGGCATTTGACGTGAATATGGACGTAACGGCGACGTATACTCTGGAAGTGAATATATGTACGGCACATACCGATTATACGACGTTGGTTGTCCTTCTTTGGAATTGATTGAAATTTCCTTTCCAAATCAATCGCATTAAATTTTTCTTGAATTCTTCATCAAATCACAAACGAAATCTCTCTCTCTCTCTCTCTCTCTCTCTCTCTCTCTCTCTCTCTCTCTCTCTCTCTCTCTCTCTCTCTCTCTCTCTCTCTACCAAAATCGTGCTTCTCAAAATTAATGTAAACTGATCTGATGCGAGTTGTACAAACAATTAATCTCGAATTCGTTTTTACACCAATCACATGAAAGAAATTTTTCATCATTCTTTATGACGAGCAATCTGATGCAATTCTGACGATAGTACAGAGACTGAATAGCAAACTGCGAAATAGCAGCGAGAAATTTATTTAGCGGTGGTGCAAAAAACGAGAATCGACAGGGCTTCGAAAAATTCGTTTCTCGTCGTAATCCGAGCCGATATATGTATTTATTTAACATCACCGCGCGTACAACACGCGGACGTATATCTCGATTATTTTTTCAGAATCCTGCACGGCTTGCATCCTGCATGGCCGGATTACGAATATTTGTGTGTTCAGAGCGTAGTTCGTATAGAAGGAGAAATATTTGTATCACGATACGCGATACCGATACGACAACGTATGCCGATAAGAAAAAAAGAATTTCGACGAGTGGATTTTTTCCTACGACTGTTTGCTACGATACTTGCACTCTGTCAGTACACGTGTGTGCTAGACGTTTTTTCTTTATCGCATTAAATATTATAAATTGTTAAATTACAATTTTCAACTTTAATAGCACACGGTATATCGTGTATTCTTCGACGTATCCCGGTAAATCGGTTCCTCTTCTTTGTCTTTCGAATAACGTTCCCAATTTATCGATTAAATATGATGTAATGTCGTCGTACTCGCTTTAGTTTGTACGCATAAAAAACTTAATTAATATATAATAAAAAATTATTACGAGGAAATGTCGTTGACGCCATTTACCAACATTTCGATTCTTCGAAGGAAAGCTGTACGAGTTTGTGACTCAGTCATGATTTCATTAAAGATCTATTTTCCCGGTAAGATGACTCTCGGCGGACGGAGACATACTCTTCGCCTTGGGGTAGGTTCGTCCCTATACGTAGAGTTTCGAAACGGAATACACGCACGCGAAATCTAAATGATTTACCGTGCGTTCGATTGCCAATTTACAGCCCCACGAAAATTGCTCTCGTCAGGGCCCCCGTACGAGTCCTTTTTCGCGTCCCACCCTTCGCATACCCCACTCCCCCCCGAAGTTTCTTTTCGCTTTCGATTCCCTTTCGATCTTCTTGCAAGAAAATCGATACGTATAAAGACATACGGAGCAATTTTCCTAGCAATTTTTGCAAAAACCCGCATCATTTGGTTTTACAACCAGGTTAGCAGCGATGTGTAAAGTGTAAAGTATTGGCGTCTGTTTAATCGTGGCTTCCTCAGGATCCTCACGGATCCGCATGGATCGCTGATCCGTAAATTGCGTGTCGCACGACATACGTGTATCGGGAAAAATTCAGAGTTTTTTCAGTCGAGCCGTGAAAAACAACGTGACAGCGTTGCCGATGATCCTTCTTAACTGTTAACAAAATACTCCCTTTCCCGATTGCGTGACGTCAACGACATCAACTATTTCGCAAACAGAGAAAATAAGGCGTGGAAAAATAAATATCATCGTTTCAAAAACTGTTAATATCGTCATCGTATTTAGATACGAGTTCACAAGATGGAAATTTCCTCCGTGTATGAGTTGAAGAAAAGAGAAAAACAAAAGATTACCGTAAATTGACATTTCCCACACCCTTTTTCCATACTATTAGTAGCATACTTTATCGAAGATGAAATTGCAATTTAGCAAGCAGATATCAATCTGACACACGTCAAATTGAGTGGAATTTCTACAAAAAAAAAAAAAAGAAGAAAGGAAAAAAATTGTTTCCTACAAATGGTGTAAGTTACGATAAAGCGATAAAACGGGATCCTGACGTGTCCGGCAGAGAGGACGGGAAATTAGAGCGCTCATTTCCGAACCGGCGAGCGGTCGTGCCACAAGGCACAATAACGACGTGGATACGTTTGCTTTGTCGAAAGGAGGAGAGCAGGGGCCAATCTGATCCTCTGCGATCCCTTGCGCGCGTGCGAGGGAAGGAAGCAGGTCACCCTCTTTGCCGCTGGAAGATCCGTGTGTTCCTGCGAGGTGAGTATAACCAAAGAACGAGTGACAAGAGGAAACGCAAGCGAATGAAATCTTGAAGACCGTACGCCGTTTAATGGAAAATAATAGAGTCCTATCCAATGCAAACTCAATGAGCAAAATCAACGATCACTTTGATCTAATGGCCTAACGTAATATCTCTGTCCTTGTCCCGTTGTCAAAGGATAATCCTTCGACGATACGTAAGTATAAGGAAAGGGACAGGCATCTCGCATCTTGCTTCGTATATGCTGGTAGTCGACGGCATCCCTCAACGTAAACATCGCACGAGGGTGAGCTTCTTGAAGTTGATCAAAGTGCCTTGACACCCCCGGGCAGCATATTTGATAGGATCCTTCGTAAGGATCGACCCTCTCGCTCCGACGAGAGAAGCCTCGAGAATCGTTTACGAGCGGAACGAAACGCCGCAGGATGGCTTCGTGAGGACGAAGAGGAACACACACACACACACACTGGCCGAATGTTTAATTTTTCATGGACCGACCTGATCTTTCGCTATTTCCGCCAACTATCGCGCAGTTTTAGGGGTCATCCGGGATACTTGGAGATCAATTATACATGATCGCGTGAAAAACTCGGAAATTGATTGTTTTTACAGCTCTCTGCGATATATTTATGATCAATTCTTCAAATTAATTTGCTCCGTGTGCAGGAAACCTTTCTCAGAAAGAGAGAGAGAGAGAGAGAGAGAGAGAGAGAGAGAGGGGATCGTATTTCAAAAGAAATTTAGAGAGAGACGGCATGATTTTTTATTCCGTGCGAACATATCCTCGTTTTACTCAGTCACGTCTCCACTTGCGCATTGTCCCGTATATCGTCGGCTCTGTAATACCACGCGAATGATCGCTTTGCGATTATTTTCGCTCGCGATAGCGACTGCAAGCGAGTCGCCCGCGGCGAAATGAAACAAAACTCGATAGCGTAGCGCCGCAAATTTGCGGCTCGGTTTCCGAAATTAGCTCGACCGAGGGCGTAGGAAAATCGGCTCGCCTCGGGCGATGACGGGATCCGACATGAGAGGGAGGGTATTATTACGGGGACCTTACGGGGAGAGAGAGAGAGAGAGAGAGAGAGAGAGGGGGGGGGGAGAGAGGGGCAGAGAGAAAGAGAGGGGGAGAGAGAGAGGGGGGGAGAGAGAGGGGGAGAGAGAGGGGGAGAGAGAGGGTGAAACGTTATCGGGACGGAGAAGGACGAATGTCCGCGCGTTAAACGCGCGACGTTTCGTGGCATCGGCCACGCTCGCGGAATTGCTTCCGTTTTTCGATTAATTCGAGAAGGTGAACGTGCGAGAGAGTGCCACTGACAGTTCATTTCGAGACTCACGTCCCGGTGTATTTGATAGGACGATGCGAATTCGCATTCGCCGACAATTTCCAAATGAGAAGTAATTCAGATCGGCTGACACAAGTTTTTCGGCTGGCCTGAGACTTTTGTCCAAAGAGATAGAAAAGAGGAGAAAAGAGAAAAAAGTGAGAGGAACACACACCAAGAGATCGCGATTGAAATTTCTCCGGCTCGTTATCTCACGCCAATTGACCGTTTGAGCAGTAGTTGATTTAACGCGGTCAATGTCAGGCGAAATACGTATAATTCGACTTGCTTTTCTAGCTGTGCTCGTTCTCATTTAACGCGTTATCAACGTGCGATCGGAAGGGCGGGGATTCGCTCGTGATCCAAGGACTAATAAGGTAAGTAACGATAGCTCGACTGGCGCGATATGGCGTGATTGCAAACTACCTGCTGCGTGCTTTTTCCACGATGCTGCCACTGATAAAAGTGATCGGCGTTCAACGACCATCCGGGTGCAAAGCTGAAACACTGCTCCGGTATTCGCGTCAACTGCGAGCCACCGATTGATGCGACCGCACCGACCTGCTGACACAGCGGATGCGGAAGTTCCGTATAAACGCCCCACTTGCCTCCCGACGGGCTGCACCAGCCCATGCTTGTGCAGCCCGCGCGCTTCTCCTCCAGCTGAGAGACGGTCACATCCTGACTGCGGTATCGTGCGTGCGATAACTCCTTCTCCAGAGTGTACAACGTCTCGAATTCGAGAAAGGACATGCCAGGCTCGATGTCGACATTTGTCGTTGTCATCGAGGACAAGGCCTTAAGTCCTAAGCCCATCTCGTCGTGGAGCGAGTCACCATTCAAGGACGACAGGAGTCTCCTTGGCGAACGTTTCGGGCTATGATGTGCTTGCTGCTGTTGCTGCTGCTGCTGCTGCTGCTGCTGCTGCTGCTGCTGCTGCTGCTGCTGATCTTCGCTGTGTCTCCTCGGCGATCTTCGGTCGCCGGAGATTCTTCGAGCCGACATGGACGGAGACTCGGCGGCTTCTAGCGGCGGTCTCTTGCTCGTATTTCCGATTAAAGAGGGTACCAACGATCGCGCAGGTGTCAGCCGACAGATCCTGCTCTTCGGCTTGGCTCCGTTGTCGCCTCGAGGATAGGCCGCGGATGTCTTGAAAGCCGACATTGTGTCTCTTTCATCTTTCGAGGTGCTCTTCGAGATCGCGATTCGTTGAGCCAAATTACGAGAGCGATCCCGGAACAATGGGTGGATCGCGAGTCGATGACTTCACGGGCTTCACGGGCCGATTAGACTGATCTTAAATCTCGATTTTTGCTTGGTCGAAAATTGCTTGGTCATTCGATGACGAATTCACTTGGAGAATTACATTGTGATTATGCCTGCTGGATGTGTGCTGCTCGGCTGAGACAAATTTCACTCTCAGTGATTTCACACCATGAACAGGTTATGTCACACGCTGAACAAGGAGTCTTTGCTTATTTGCTTATTTGTCCGATTAATTGTTCCCAGAGCAATACACTAGGATGCGATTGTCGTCTGACTCTTTTCGCCAAATCAATACAAATTTGCTCGCAACACGGCGACGAGTACTTGTATTTTGTACTTTGTACTTTAATCGTACAAAATGCAGCTTTCGCTAGAGAATAGAACATGGCTATTTTTTAAAAAAGGACACGCGTATTATCAAGACGGACGTCGAAGAAAATGCCGAATCGGCATTTCAATCACAATCATACCTGTCGACCAATCCACTTGGCGAATTCATATGTCAATGTCAAAATGAAATTTCCACAAACAATTTCGTTCGATATTAATAAGCGACCTCCGCTGGTACGGCAATCGAAAGGAGGAAATGTTACGAAACGGCGTCGGACAAGCTGATCACGCGAGCGCACCCCTGCAAGGATCTTCGGCAGGACTGACGGTTCGGTCCGCGTCGCGTCGCGTCGCGTCGCAGGACGACGCGAGGCGCCACGACGACGAGTGTGCGCGCGCCCGCGCCCGCGCCCGCGCACATTGCGACCGCGCGTTGGGTAAAACCCTCACTTCACCACCTGAATTTCCCATTGCTCGCGATGCGACGCGACGCGACGCGACGCGCAGAAAAATGTATGTAACATTTCACGTCGTCTCAGCGTCACACATTTTCCCCTGTATTTACATTCCAGTACCAATATAAACCATCGCGAAATTTATTGAACTTGATTGAACGAGCGAGCGACCTTTCTATTATTGTCATTCATTATTGTTACTTTCTCCGTCATCATCGATAGGATTGATCGCGTTGATACTGACGCGAGAGGAAGGTAGTAGCAGAGGTACGTAGTTCATGCGCCGGATGAAAGTCACCGTCCCGACATGTGTACACACGGGGTGAATATTATAAAAGCGGCAGCGTGATGAAGAGAGGAGAAGGCACAACAAGGCTACCACCCTTCGAAAAAGCAATCTCTCTCTCTCTCTCTCTCTCTCTCTCTCTCTCTCTCTCTCTCTCTCTCGATACACTGTGACGTGTGCCAGCACAATATCCTCTCTCCCTCTTCCTCGTCCACACTGCTTCAGTGTATACCCCTCTCAATTTCTCTATATAGGTGACGAATCTACATATTTATGGCGAGTGCTCGGCGCGTTAGAAGACTCTGAACGTATGCCAACTAATAAGTGCTCGCGTCCGTTCTAGTCTTCCGCATTTGGTTGATATCGCGATATACAACGCGAGATTTCAAGTTTATTCAAGGCTAATGTCAACTAATATACCTGCGAAAGCTGGGAGAGTATGAGTGAAGAGTCGCGTGGCGGAAATATCAAACAAATACATTTTTGAGTAATTTTATTGCGCACCGGTTGCGGTAGACTACAACCATTTAATAACTTGCAGGGATGGTGGGGAGGGGGGGGGGGATCTTGGGCCAAGTGCCGTTGTAGCTTCCATTTGTTTCAACGAGCAAAGCTGTCCTATAAAACCGACCGACAGCCCGCTACTGAAAACCGCTACGACTTAAAAAATTCACGAGCAGCTTTGTAATATCGCGCAATGTACAATATCTCTTTATTAGTGTCCAACCAGTCGAGTCGATATTCACACGGAAACACGTACGCGAGCGCAACGCACCACACACAAACGGACAGTCGGCACGCGGCGTGCGGTGCGCGGGGTTGGTTTTGGCTGCCAAAGGGTAGTCGCAATAATTAATAAAGCCGCCGAAGGGCTTAACGCTTCGTGACTCCTCTCTTTCCATTCGCTCTCCGGTCTTCCCGTCGACTTACTTTTCCGTTTCTACGATTTCAATATAATAATGTCGCGCAGTCAGGCCCCGCGGCTTAGAGCCGCTCTCTGTCTGGGTCAGAGGTTCTCACTCGACGACTCTCTGTCGTCCTGTCGCAACATTTTACCAAGATGATACAGCGAAAGATGCTCATGCATCAAGAGGAAAAAGGGGGTAGGGGGACGGAGGCGGGGAAGAGAAAGAAAAGGAATATGGGGGAATATTGAACATCTCTGTGCCACATTATGTGTATCTTTGTGTTATTTATGTGTTATACTTTTCGAGAGGGAAACGACCGTTTTTTCAAGATATAGTTTCTGGAAAATTTTCGCCGCGCGAAACTTGTCTCAGTGAAACCAAAACAAAAGTCGTGCGTATCGTTTATTTCCTCCTTCTTTTTTCGTTTCCGCAAAGCGGAAGTGGAAGATCGATTTAGCATGTGACACGAATCCAGATGTGATAGGAGAGCCGCGGCCCGGCAGAGAAGAGCCGCATTCGCGAAATCTATCCAAGTCGCGAAGGGTGACTTCTGCGGGAAGTGTTATTGCTGTGTCACTGGCTTCGGGATTATCGCGAATCATTTTGCTCGTGTGAAAGTATGAAGCTTGGGCATTATATAGCAAAAGATCCTACCGTTGTTGTAAAGATTGAGAATCTGGGACCTGGGACACGAAATTACTCGTGACAAAGTGGTTCGCGCTTTCCGCAAAAGGATTAACCAAAAGTACAAAATAACACTGTTCCGTGCACTGTTTCGTGTGGGAAAGTCACGATAACACATCCATGCTTATTTTTCAGCTTGTGCGCGCGCGCGCGCGCGCGAGTGACGCAAATACGCATATATAGCGTAATATCTGATCTAGCGTAAGCGTATATGTATTTAATGCAAAAGTGAAAACTCACCGGCCCTTAGTTTTTCATATCTGAGGTATCGGATTTAATGCAATATCACACACAGTTCGGCCGAATGTATGCATGCAGTGTTGCGCAAGAATCAGACGCGCAGCGTACCGACGCAGCTGGGCCGTATTGAAGCTGCGTCAAGCTGAGTTAGTTTGACCGCACGTTCTGCAAACGTTTATCTCTATTATCAGCGATCACGCTGATTCAGTTACGTCCGCCAGGCGAGCCAACCAGGAGACCTTACGGTCTCCGTCCGTATTGATCGCGCATTGAATTATAATGACTGAATTTGTGGACGAATTCATCGTCTTCTTGTGTAATAACGGCAGAAGGGCAAATATCACTCTGCCGAGAGGGAGAGAAGAGTTGTCTGAGAAGAGGGTGTCTGTCGAGAGTCGAGAGGTGTGAGTGCGAGTGCGAGTGCGCGCGCGCGCGCGAAACGGAATTCTGAATGAACGACGACACGACCGACGCACAGCACACGCAGAGCGCCACGCGCATGCCTGCGCACGAGGGTAAACGCAATTCCTCCGTATCACGTGCTCGCGTACCCATGGGGTTTGTGTCTTGCGCTCGCCCGCCCGCCCGTCCGCCCGTCACGCGTCCGTGCGGACGTGACTCATAAGATTTATAGCCTTCTCGTCGTCGGGCCAGACCACGCCAGAGACCTCGCCAAGGATCCCGCGGAACGGACCCGCGGGTCGCTCTTCAACACGCAAGATTCATTCGACGACATCTCATTCCAGAGCCTTGGACCAGTGGAACCAGTGGAATTTCGCTGCTCGAGCTCACGAAACTTTTACACGTTCGTAAACATTTTAATTTTTCGACGCGACATTTCGTCCTAATTCCGTTCGAATTCTCCTCCAAATTACCTCGGCCTGGCGCTTCTCGCCAAGACAGCTCGGCGGTTTCCCCAACTGCGATCGAATAGACAGACGGAACGCCGACTCGTGATACTCGTGACTGTCCGGCGACAGAGGCGATTCCGGCGATGATCCTGGCGAGCCTAGGCCGGAGCTCCTGCTGTCGCTAATCTTGACAACATCCCCGGTGGTGTCCTTACCTCCGAGGAGGATCGGTGGATCCGGCTGAGGTGATAGCGGTGATAACGGTGACCCGAAGCCAGAACTTTCCGAACTCGAGTTTACCAAGCCGTGAGTCCCGGACAATTTTCTCATCTTCAGTCTGGGAATTAAACTTCTGGACTCGCCGTGCGTGCGGATCTTGCTCGTCCGACAAACGACGGACTTACGTTCGCCGCAGGACAACATGAGACCTTTGGAGCCTCCCCTCGTGCCTTCTCCCGGGACCTCTGCCGGTCCCGGTGCCGGCAGTGTCGTCTCGCCGGGTTGATCGTTCTGGCCGGTGATCGGTGTGTCATCCCTCTTACGCGCGCGGCACGATGCGAATCCAAGACGATTCGCCGCGTACTGCCTATTGTTCATAACAGCGACGCTCTCCCTCGTTCCCTTCCCGGGGACATTGTTTGCGATCGAATCGTGCTGGCGGTTGGCTCTCGATCCCGCCTGCGCCCGCGCCGTCTCCAGCAACCTCGAGCCGCGATACTCGGCGTTCAGTGACGCCGGACGTCGTTTCACCGTCCCGGTCTCGTGGCTGGGAGAATCCCAGTCCACGTGGAAGGTTCTTCGTTTCGCGGACATTAGGAACTTTCCTTCCGATCGACTCGAGTCAATCGATCGATATCGCATTATCAATCAACAGTGTGTGTCTACTACATCTCCCCTCTAATCGTTTTCGTCGTTTCATCTGTGTTACTCGTGTCCAATTCCAACATTTCGCGGCTATTTTCTCCCGCTTTGACGCACACCTACATTTGCACATCTACATTATCTACATTGCTACATTACAAATCTCTCCGAGAAGTTCTTCAACAAGCGGAAGACGTTCGTGTCGCTTTGCACGCGCGCTTTGTCTGCTTAACGCTTAACAGCACCACGGTATAACACCATTTTCACTTTTTCCGCGACTCTCGTCAGGTATGTTTTGACAAAGATAATACGAGATTCATACGAGATGAGATTAACGATTACGACCGTGCGATCCGAAGCCATCTTTCGAAATAGGTAAGAAATTCGCGCGCGCGCGCGCTCGCGCGCCAAAGGAAGTGACGAAATGTCGGCCGGGCGATAAGCGTATTTTCGGGTTTCTGCACCCGGACAATGAATGCACTTGCTAAGGTTGCCTGAGGCAAACTGAAGCCACCCCTGAGTGAGCATCCACCCTTGGGCGGATCCTCCGAGAAGCGACGCGTGCATGTGTATG